AATGTGTGCTGTTTTACCTCATGGAGTTGGAGGTGAGGGGCATACAATATATCAAAGGGAATAGACAAAGTACAACTAGGAAAACCCTGACTCTTCAGTTTAGATTACCCTCCATTGCACCTCAGATGCAAGAAGAGAAACAATAGTTTGGAGAATTCCTCTCTGACACACACCCCTCTGGTCGTCAGAGTCGATCTCGGAGATCACAAAGATCTTCTACCTTCTACTCTCTTGCTCCAAGATCTCTCATGTCAGTGAAAAGCCTTGAGATGTTTATTTTTCCACAGCCGCATTCACACAAATCTAACTTGCAATTCCACACAGAATCTGTGCGCAAGGACAACTCCGGTCTAGATATATCCCACTCACCATTATATAAAGGAAATATTCAAGCCTGGCATCAGGTTCAGAGAAACATCACAACAACTATCCCATGTATTGAAAAGATTGAAATACAAGACAGGTAATGAACTCTGAGAAATTAGGGCTGTTTCAGTCTTGAAGTGTAATGGCAGGAAGATGTTACAGGATATTGAGTGATACAGGAATGGTAGGTTAACTTTAAGTCACAGTCATTGACTCAAGACCTTTTTACATAAGATGACCCAACATGTACAAAACACAAAAACATGCCCACAAGCCTCCTCTCAGCCCTCAACACTTGTAGATCACAAGAGAAAATCTTAGGCCAGAAAGTAAATGGGACATTGAAATCAAACATTGTACAGCTCTAAATGGAGGTATTGCATGAAAAACACTCGGCTACACAAGACACTAGGCAGTCATGCTCATTCCCCAGGAGAAGAGGGAAGCAAACTGAGATTATTTGCATTTGAAAAGACAAAGTCCGGATGTTCTTTAGTATTTTATCATAAAAGAAACAGCATTCCAGCAAAACATAATTTGACACATCAATATAGATACAGCTCTGGTTATTATTGTTACATACATATCACAATTCAAAAAAAGAATCTCATGCTAAATATGTATCTTTACAAAATTAGGAATCAAACACATATCCCAACGTGAGCATGATTGTCACAAATCATGATTTCTCATTGGTTGGTAGAACATGCTTGAGGAGCTGAATGGCCTATTCCCATTCCTAACCTGCCAGCATGTTTTGCAAAATATACAAATGCAAACTCAGCACTAGGCTGTGTAGTAAATTAATATAAATTTATAATTCATGATATCATGCTTTCCTCAGTGACAATTCCTGTTGACTGCACGCACATGTACTAAGTTAGTTTTCGGTTAGAACTGTGACACCCTCTATTTCAAAATAAAACCAACAACTTTTCAACAAACTCAGCAAAATCTTTTTCTTCAGCACTGCACAAATATCGGCAAAATACATGAATGGAAAATGTCCCAATATTCCTGGCACGTTTAATAAGCATCTATTGACTTGCTGCTTTATGACCAAGAATACTCTCAATATTATTAATGAGCAGTTAAAAAAAAACATTGAACTTCCTTTTCCTTGCTGAGGGTCTTCACTCCAAGCTGTTAAATTGATCTGCACTGTCTGTTCAGGACTAATATTGTATATTAGCAAAAGGTGGTAAGGAGATCATGGGATGTGATGGCCCCATAGTATTGTCGCTGGACTGGTACTTCAGAAACCCAGGTATTTTCCCTTGCAACATGAACAGAAATTGCTGGAGAAACTCAGCAGGTCCGGCAGCATCTGTGGAGAGAAAACAGAGCCAACAATTCTAATCTGATGACCCTTCTTCAGAACTGGTTCTGGTTCTGATGAAGGGTCACTGGACCTGAAACATTGACTTTGCATTCTTTCCACAGATGCTATCAGGATCTGCTGAGTTTCTCCAGTAATTTCTGCTTTTGTTTCAGATGTTCAGCATCGGCAGTTCTTTGTTTTGTTTTAACGTCCTGGGGACCCAGGTTTAAATATTTCCATGGCAGACAGTAGAATATGAACACAATGACAATTAAACGTCTGATGATGACCATGAAACCATTGTTGGGAAAATCTATCTGGTTCACCAATGTCCTTTAGGGAAGAAATCTGCTGGGTTTGGACTCGTGTGACACCAGACCCACCACAATGTGGTTGACTCTTACCTGCCTTCTGGGCAATTAGGGATGGGCAATAAATGCAACCTAACCAGCCTGTGGATGATTTTTTAAAAAGATGAGGCATATTTTTAAGGTGAGAGGAGAAGGATTTAACAACGACATAAGCGGCAACGTTTTTACACCAAGAGTGGTCCATGTGTAGAATGAACTTCCAAAGGAAGTGGTGGATGCAGGTAGAGTTACAACATTTAAAAGATATTTAGATAAGTACATGAGTAGGAAAGGTTTGGAGGGATATGGGTCAAGTGCAGGCAGGTGGGACTAGTTTAGTTTGGGATTATGGTCGGCATGGACTGGTTGGACCGAATGGTCTATTTCCGTGCTGTATGACTCTGTGACTCCGAGTGTGAAGTAAAGGATTAAGCATAACAATATCCTTACAACAGTGACTGTTCATGTGTGTATGGAACTATACCATCATGCTGTCTGTTGACATAAGACTGAGACCTGGAGAAGCCGAACTCAAACATGCTTATGCACAGTTTGTAAGCAATGAATGTCAACAGTTCACACCAGCATAGTGCTTAGCCTTTGGATTTCTCAAGGTCCTAATAGTAGCCAATGGATTATCTGAGGAGGTCAAGTTATAGCCTATCATTTATGGTAAAGAAAACTGTCAGATTAAAATAGTGAAATGTTTAGTTGGATGGTACGGTTTTCAGGTGGGGCCTGAAATTTAAAAAAGAATGCACTGGGAATGAAAACTAAAGTGGAGCAGCGGACAGGATCTAGTTGTTAAAAAAATACTGTAATCTAAGTGGCATAATCAAAGTGGTCTAATCTCCCCTGCCATTCTATCCCTGGCACTGTGAGGCAGCGGTGCTAACCAGTGTGCCACCCAGGTACCTTAGTTCAGGATGCCCCCGATAGCAGAAACATCTTCTCAATATGTACCCTGTCAAGCCCCCCTCGTAATCTTGCATGTATGATCAAGGCCAAATCAAACACCTGCCCCATAGGTAGGTATTCAGGTCATCACATGAACCATGGCTGTAACTAGGAATAGTCAATCAACTCAGCAAATAAGCAAAGTGCACCGCACCCAGTGAAATCAGGAAAGCACGAGGTGTACAGCAGACACTGCTCAGACAGATTTGGGGCATTGCTGGTAACAATCTTCTTCATTTCACCCTAGACTTACCCCTCCACAGTAGGAAGAACGACAAGAGTAAATTCTCTGCAAATTGCAGTCTTCTTTGATCCTGAAGCTAAGAGTTTAACTGTTTTTAAATAAATCATTTGCATTTTACTGAAAGGGGACACACGTTGACAAAGCTCCTTGACTTGCGCTCATCAGGACAAGTACAAGAATGCCAAATTTGAAACAAGCACAACAATCTATACTGCAGGTCAAAAAGGTTAGAGCCTGATAAATTGGAAGAAATTAATTTGGCATGAAGTTCAGGGATCGTAAATAAGGAAAGCATGATATCACTAATTACAAACTGATTTTATCACAGTTTGTAGGCTGCACATGCATATGAGTAACACTCTGGCAATGCATGAACTGGAGGATGTCTCTTATGGTGCAGTGGCTCTGAGCCAAGAGGTCCAGGATCAAGTCCCACCTGTTCCTGAGGTGATCCTAACATCTCTGAACAGATTGTTTAGAAAATATCTATATTAACAGGAGGAGGCTATTCAGCCCCTGAAAGCCTGATCCAATATTCACAGTTGATCTGTATCTGAGCTCCATCCAGCCAGTTTGGTTCTATGCCTTTAAATTGGCTGGACTGGCAAGAAAGCTATTGATAGGTAGGGCAACCTACACACTTGCTATCTCCCAATCAGCTGAATGAGGCAATTGCATGATTTCACAGGTAATATTACATAGAATCTAACAGCACACGAGGAGGCCATTCAGCCCATTGTACCAATCCAACTCTTTGATAGACTTCAAGCCTCTATAACTTCCCTTTCAAGGATTTATGAAATTCCCATTTGGAAGCTCCTACTGTGTTGTGTCCACTTCCACAAAACTTTCAGGCAGTGCATTCCAAATCACTACCACTCCTGTACAAACCTAGTTCCATCTCTCCCCTCATTCTTTTGCCAATCATTTTAATTTTGAATCCTTTGACAGTTTAAATATTTTATCCTAAATACTCCATCGAAACATCTCATAAATGTACACTTTTCTATTAAAACTCCTCACCTTCTCTGTTCTACAGAGAATGCTCCCTGCTTCCCTCACTTCATAACTGAAATAATGATACATTTGAGATAATAATCACTGATTTTATTCACTCATTCCTGAATTTTGACAATTCTAGAATGTATAGCCTTCTGTACAAATGGATAACTAATCTCCCAACATGATGTAAGATTATTTTATTCTCTCGTGAGATGTGGGTGTTGCTGGGTCAGCGTTCACTACCCATTCTTGAGAAGGTGATGGTGAGGTGCCTACTTGAACAACTGCAGTCCATGTGCTGTAGGTAGATCCAACAATGCCCCAAGGGAGGAAATTCCAGGATTTTGATCCAATGACAGTGCAGGAATGGTGATATATTTGCAAGTCAGGATGGTGAGCAGCTTGGAGAGGAACTTGGAGGTGGGAGGTGGTAGGTGTCCCCATGTATCTGCTGCCCTTGTCCTCCAGGATGGCAATGTTGTGGGTTTGGAAGGTGCTGTCTAAAGATTGTTGGTGCATTTTTGCAGTGCATCTTGTAGATGGTACACACTGCTGCTACTGAGCATCACTGGTGGAGGGAATGGATGCTTGTGGATGTGAAGTCAATCAAGCAAGCTGCTTCGTCCTGGAGCGTGTCAAACTTCTTGAGTGTTGATGGAACTGCACCCATCCAGGCAAGTGGGGTGTATTCCGTCACACTCCTGACTTGTGCCTTGTAGATGGTGGACAGGCTTTGGAGAGTCAGGAGGTGAGTTACTCGCTGCAGTATTCCTAGCCTCTGACCGGTTCGTGTAGCCACTGTGTTTAAGTGGTGAGTCCAGTTGAGTTTCTGGTCACTGGAAATCCCTATGTAAAACTATAATTATAATAGAGGGATTGTCTGGCATTAATCTGTTTCATACAGTCAACAACTCCCATTTCTTGTAGTTTGGAGCTCATTGTCCCTCAGGAACTGCATTTCTGTTACTTGCAGTACATCATGGGGAAGTGGACATTATTGGGAGCAAACACCAGGAACCAGGCTAAGGCCCCTAAACCAAATTGTGCACAAGCTTTCTTTGTGAAGCAAGGGCATTTCTATAGCACCTTTTGTGTCCTTAGGGTTTCCCCAAGCACTTCACTGCGTACGGTAGTCAACTTGCTCATCACAAACATGCAATAAAAGCAGCTTCTCTTCACGAGAAGATGATCAAGGCTGGGTCTTTAAATTTGTTCAAGGCTGAGTTAGAATGGTGGAGCAGGCTTGATGGGCTGAATAGCCTGCTTTCGTTACTAAGTCTTATGTAATGTCCGGGTGGGTTGAAAGGTGAAGTAACCAATTAATGGAGAGGATGGGGAAAGCTATCCAGAACATTGGGCGGACAGATGGGAAAAGTACCTTGGGGATTTTCACGCCCATCTCTACAGGGTTACTACATAATGGTACCAATGTACCTCTTTTAAAAAGTTGCTATGTCCCTTATGTCCTTGCATTGTGTTATTCAAAATGGAGAGAAATACTTATACCCCTTTAAGATGATGAGTGGGGCAGGGTGGATATCTGTTATATTGGACTGGCTATGTTTGATCTTAACTGCATCTCTCCATAATCGGTCTTGACATTGTCATTTCTGAATGTTCATTGTCAAAGATCCATCAATTAATAAGGAATTGAACATCCGTGTATTCAACATCGTAAAACCATTATTCGCCCATTGGCACCACTTCTCTGCGCGAACCATTGGACAAGGGAAAACTGTTTGCCCAGAATTCCAATCAAGCCGCAACTTCATACAGTTTGAAATCAGGAAAGATTGAAGGTATGGTCTTGACAGCTCCCACCTGCACCTTCCTGACTGATCTCAAGCTAAATGGTTTGCAATCTCAATGTACCACTCAAACCATTCTCCTCCTTCTCTCCCGCTCACCATAAACAATTTGGGATGGGCAAATAAAAGCTAGCTTAGTCAGCGATGCCCTCATCTCATATGAATGAACAAAAAAATCCCTTCCAAAACCTGCTTTTGTAGCTTTGAAGTGCGTTCCTTGCTGAGACCCATGAAATTACAGACAATGTTACAGACTAAATACCGGCTCGTCCACTCACACAGTTTCAGGGAAATGCTTCCTGCTCATAAAAGGATTGAGAACCAGAGGGCACAAAAAGCATTTCGCAAAAGAAGTAATTTCAGGATGAAATAAAAGTCTTTTTCACACAGTGAGTGGTTCCATTCTGGAACGCGCTGCCTGGAAGTGAGGTGGAGACAGGCATTCAAGATGGGCATTGGATGATTATTGCAATGGAAACAGGGTAGTGGGAAATGGGAATTTGGCACAAAGTCAAAATGCTCAGAGAGCTGGTGCAGGCATGATGGGCTGAATGGTCTAAAAATTCTGTGAACATGCAATTTATCAAAGGGTGAACGACTGAGATAGAGACACATTTCCCAAGTCTGTCTCGCTTATAAGCCAACTTGAAGCACGCTGATTTAAATTGTGTTGAACCGTACATAATCGTGACTTAAACATGAGCAATCCTTTCCAAAGTAAAATATTCCAGCATATTAACATCATACAATATTACATGAAGGTAGTGCCCCCTTTAAGAGTATTGAGTTCTGATCTTTTAGGTTCTTTAAAAGGATGCACAATTTGCTTTAAAAATAATTTCGGTTCTTCACCAAAGGATGTCATTTTTTATTCCTGTTTGACCTGTGCAATCTGAAAGGCCGAGGGGATAGCAGAAGCGAACATTTCATTGCAGGAGTCATCGCCTTTCCCTGCGACTTCTCGTCCTCACTCTGAGATTCTGAGGCTGAGGGGAAATCATGTGGTGACTTGCTAGCATTCAGCGGTGGGTCTGGACAGTTGGGTCTGGGAGGAGATGGAGTCCTGCGCTGGGTCGAAGCAGGTGAATGCCGGTCTGCCGAGTGGACCTGTTTCGACTGCTTGTTGAGCCTTGTTGACATACCGCTGAACCAGGCCTCAGCGCGGGGAGTGCCGTGGTCAGGTAAGGAGCAACCTGAGTACCATTGCCCATCCTTCCCCCTAGGGGTCGCTGTGGGCGAGGTCAAGCCCCCCATCTGACAGGGGGACGGCTCTCTCGCTCCTTGGTGACCAGGCTGGAGCTCCTGAAACAAGTGCGTCGCCCACGGATTGCAGTGCTGACCGTCGGATGGCCTTGGGACAGCCCCCAGGATGGCGGCAATCAGTGAGTCATGACTTTGCTCCCTCAAGCTCTGGACCTGTTGCCAATCCTTCATGTTTGCTGTTGGGGAAAAGGGTTAGGGATGAGGAGGAGAGCATCAGAGATCAGCACAGGGCTTTGAAAGGAACAGCGGCAATGGGAGAGAATAGAGCAACTTTACCTGTCATGAGACATTCATTCTTGTGTCTTAATGCTTCCATTTCACAAGCCATGGCGGTCATCTGTGATGGAATTGTGGCACGTGTTAAGCAGGTCAGGTAGACAACCCTTCAGTAACTTGACAGAATTGGCAGAACAAACACACTTCCTAGCCAAAGGAATCTTTCGCCATAGAATCATAGATTCCCTGCAATGCAGAAAGAGGCCTTTCACCCCATCCAGGCTGCACCAAATCCTTGTAGCCCCACACAGTGTTTTTACCATGGCTATTCCACCTAATCTACATATCTTTGGGCAGTGGGAGGAAACCAGAGCACCCGGTGGAAACCCACGCAGACACGGGGAGAATGTGCAAACTCCACACAGACAGTCGCCCGAGGCTGGAATTGAACCAGGGTCCCTTGCGCAGTGAGGCAGCAGTGCTAACCACTGAGCCACCGTGCCGCCCATCAAAGAAAGTAAAGCAGTAATTCATTAATATTTTGCACACAACGTATTTGAATAAGAGAAATAAATCTTGCTTTAAAAACATTAACAGCTTGCACACATGCACTTTTAGAGGTCCCAAAGTACGTTAGGGGAAGGTAGTCGTTGAGGTAGTGTCATTAGACCAGTAATCCAGAACCCTGGGCTAATCTTCTGGGGACATAGGTTTGAAACCCACCAAAAAATTCGCTAAACCATTTGGCTTAATGGTGACCTCCATGTTGACTGTTGGAAAAATCCATCTGGTTCATGAAGGTCCTTTAGGGAAGGAAATCTGCTGTCCTTACCTAGTCTGTTCTATGTGTGACTCCAGACACACAGCAATGTGGCTGACTCTTAATGGAGGTTAATCAGGGATGGGCAGTAAGTACTGGCTGAGCCAGTGGTGTCTTTACCCCATGAAAGAACAAAAGAAACTGACAAAATTTAATATTGAGCCACTGAAGGAGAGATTAGGGCAGATAATCAAAGGTGTAATCAAAGATAGGCTTTCAGGAGCATCTCAGTGAAGAGAAAGCTTTAGATAGGGAATTCCAGAATTTAGGATCAAGAAGTCTGGAGGTATGACTGCTAATTGTTGATTGTTCATTAATTGCTTGGAGAGAATGGACACTAATTATATGTATTGTTAGAATCATACAACCCCTACAGTGTGGAAGCTGGCCATTTGACTCCACACCGATCCTCCAAACAGCACCCCACCCAGGACCGGCCCTATCCCTGTAACCCTGCATTTCCCATGGCTAATCCACCTAGCCTGCACATCCCTGGACATTATGGGCAATTTAGCATGGCCAATCCACCTAACCTGCACATCCCTGGACATTATGGGCAATTTAGCGTGGCCACTGCACCTAACCTGCACATCTTTGGACTGTGGAAGGAAACCGGAGCACCCGGGGGAACCCACACAGACGCGGGGAGGAAGTGCAAACTCTACATAGACAGTCGCCTAAGGGTGGGCCCCTGGCACTGTGAGGCAGCAATGCTAACCAGCGAGTCACCATGCCGTCATGAAACCATAAAGTGATACCACTGTAGCTGTGGGATGTTTGAGCTTGGAGGCTAATGCTTGTAATGATTCAGTCTGTATATAAACATAGGTACGAGTAAATTTTGATTCCAATACTGAATTTCTGGATTATAACACCTATGAACATGAGTTCCGGTCTGAACTACTGCCAAGTTTTTCATATGGAAGTTCCTTAAAGGGAACTTTGTTAGGAAGATTCACACTGCCAGCTCCCTGCAAGGACATATTCCTAACATCTCTGTAATAATTATATGCAAGCCCAGGTACTTTACTGATCTTAAAGCAAATTGGTGAGAGTCTTGCGTTTACCTTTTCTGTTTTCGCATCCAGATGTTGCTGCAGGCTCTGAATCTCCTTTTCCAGCTTCTGGAAGCTTTGAAAACCAGGGTCTTCTTTCAGCCTCCGATTCTCTTCCTCCAAGTGCAGTTTCTGCTCCTCTTGGGACTTCACCATTTCGACCACATTCTGTTACACATAGAGAGCAGCAAGTGAGAATTGTGCTGATCGGACACACACCAATTCCAATCACTAGCATGCTAACGCAATGATTCCTGGTGAAATACGTGAGTGGCATTAGTGGTCATGTTTCTCAGCTACGATGCCTTGCACAGTTGAATAGCCTACACTATTGGCTGGCACTCAAAGTACAGACACTGGGGTGAAGTATCAATAGTAATGATCATCATTAAACAAGGGAAAGACTCAAATGTTGTTGATAAAGCATAGGAAAGCCACAAGCCTTGTTCCTTTAGTCAGGAGAATGGGTGGGTTATGACTGAACACTGGAGGGAGGGATTATTTTTAAGGGACAAATTGGAAAAACCTCAGTGGATTGATCGTAGAGGTAGCTAACATCATAATAAAATGCGGACAGTTAATCCAGACCATTAGCTAAAAGAGATCCAAGCTGGGAATTGTAACATCTGGGCTGATATCAAAACATTATCTTTAATGCAGAGAACAAACAGGTGGAGGCGAAAACCCTGGAAGCATTTAACTACTAGAAACAACTTGATTTCATGTATCACTCAGAAGCAAGCCTCTGTACACTAAGTCCAGGCCAGAGTTTATGTTTTTTTTATCTAAATCAAGCTTCATAACCCTCAATTCCCTTCTTCCTCAAACATTTTGATTTGATTTGATTTAATTTAACTTGATTGATTATTGTCACATGTACCCAGGTGCAATGAAAAGTTTTGTTTTGCATGCAGTACAGGCAGATCAGACCATACAAAATGCATTAGGGTAATAGAACAGAGAGAGGAATACAACGTTATGGCTGCAAAGAAAATGTATAAAAAGCAAAATCAACATTAGATTTGAAATTTGAGGGGTATATTCCGAAGTCTCATAACAGCAGGGAAGAGACTGTTCTTGAACCTGTTGGTACGTAAGCTTATGCTTTTGCATCTTCTCCCCGACGGAACAATTTGGAAGCGATTACAGCCAGGGTGGGAGGGGTCTTTGATGATGTCGGCTGCTTTTCCAAGGCAGCGAGAAGTATAGATGGAGTCAGTGGGTGCAAGTTGGCTTGTGTCATGGACTGGGTTGTGCTCACAACTCTCTTCTTACAGTCCTGAGCAGAGCTGTTGCCGTACCAAGCCGTAATGCACCTGGTTAGAATGCTTTCCATGGTGCTTCTGTAAAAGTCGGAGAGGGTCCTTATGGACCTGTTGAATTTCCTTAGCCTCTTGAGGAAGTAGAGGTGTTGTTGTGCCTTCCTGATTGTTGTGTCAATATGGGTGGTCCAGGACAGATTGTTAGTGATCGTCACTCCTAGGACCTTGGTGTTGTTGACCATCTCCACCTCAGCACCATTGATGCAGACAGGGGCGTGCACTCTGCTGCGCTTCCTGAAGTCAATGACCAGCTCCTTCGTTTTGCTGATGTTGAGGGAGAAATTGTTATCTTTACACTACACTACCAGGCACTCACTCTGTTTTGTCTGGCTTCACCTTAAACCTATCTATACTCTTCAATTCAATTCCTCTTGGAGGTCAATAAGTTCCACCTTCTCATCGCTCTTTGTGAAGAAGTTTCTTCTGAACTCCTCACGGAGTTTCTTGGTGACTCTGTATGGATGGTCGCTAGTTAATGCTCTTTCCCCATGAGATGAAACGCACTCTCTGTATCTATTCTATCCAAACCTTGCAGAATGTGAAAGGGCCTCTATTGGCTCACTCCTCAGTGGTCTTCGTTCAAGGAAAGAGTGACACAATCTCAATCCTTTCCCGATATTTTCCCAAGCATTTCTGCTTTCATCTTCATTAATCTTCTCTGCACTCTCTCCAGTGCTTTTTGTAAAATAGAGACCAGAATGGGTAAGTGTGGACTAACCAAGGCTTAGCTAGACACAGCTATGGCAGTAGTGTAGGGCTGCTTTGGAGAAAATGAACAGGATAGGCTGAACGAACTGTGTAAATTTCCATGTATCTTTTGATCATGTGATTTACATTTAAGAGAGAAGCAGGTGGAACACTGTGTATAGTTCTGGGCTCTGCGCGATAGGAAAGATGTGATTGCACTGTAGGAGGTGCAGAGGAGATTCACCAGGATGTTGCCTGGAATTTTAGCTTTGAAGAGACTGGATGAGCTTGGGTTGTTTTCTTTAGAGCAGAGAAGATTCTCTTAAGTTTAACATGCAGGTTCAACTGACAGTTAGGAAGGCAAATGCAATGTTATCATTCATTTCCAGAAGGCTAGAATACAACAGCCGAAATGTACAGTAGCTGTACAAGGCTCTGGTCAGACTGCATTTGGAATAATCTGAGCAGTTTTGGGCCCCAATCTAGGGAAGGATGTTCTGACCTTGGAGGGGGTCCAGAGGAGGTTTACAAGAATGATCCTGGGGATGAAGGGCTTGTCATGTGAGGAGCAGTTGAGGACTCTGGGTCTGTACTCAACGGAGCTTAGAAGGGTGAGGGCGGGAATCTCTTTGAAACTTACAGAATACTGAGAGACCTGGATAGATTGAAAAAGATGTAGGAAAGACAAGGATCCAAGGGCACAGCCTCAGTGAAGGTAGGACCCTTTAGAACTGAGATGAGGAGGAATTTCTGCAGCTGGGGTGTGGTGAATCTGTAAAATTCATTGCCACAGAAAGCTGTGGATGCCAAATCATTGAGTGTATTTAAGACAGAGATAGATTGGTTTTTGATTAGTAAGGAGGTCAAAGGTTAAGGGAGAAGGCAGCAAAATGGGGTTGAGAAACGTATCAGCCAGTTCGAATGGTGGAACAGACTTCATGGACCAAATAGCCTAATTCTGCTCCTATATCATATGGTTTAAAAGCTGAGACAGGACCTGATAGAAGTCTATAAGGTTATGAGAAGCATGAACAGGGAGGATAATAAGCAACTGTTCCCCTTAGTTGAAGGGTCAATAACAAGGAGACAATATTTTACAGTGAAGGGCATGAGGTTTAGAGGGGATTTAAGGAGCGTTTTTTTCACCCAGAGAATGATGGGAATCTGGAATGCACTGCCTGGAAGGGCAGCGGAGGCAGAAAAACTCGCAACCTTTAAATACTCGGATGATCACTTGAAATGTCATAAAATTTGAGGCCGTGGGCCAAGTACTGGAAAGTGAGATTAGAGTAGGTAGGTCAGGGCAAGATATGATATGCCGAAGAGCCTTTGCTGTGCTGTACGACTTTATGATTCCTCAAACACCAAAGATGTGAAGCGTGGATGGACGGCATTGAGATAGAGGATCAGTCATGATCATGTTGATAGCCGAGCAGGCTTAATGGCCTGTTCCTATTTTTCTACATCGCAGCAAGAGCTGGCGCTACCGTCTAACCTTATGGATGCTGGTGTCAAGTTGAGCAGCACTGGAGTTTGATCCAGCTCAGTCCTGGGTAGACCTGAATGCAATAACAACTGGTTCAGGTGCCTTCGTACAATATTGCTAAACCATTACAAGAACGTTAAAGTTCCTGAGACAATGAGCAACTGTCTGCAGTGAACATCAGAATGTAACTTAGCCTCACTGTCCTACTTGTTGCAAGGAAAGTGAGACGAGTTATTGATCTCCCAGGGATTGTGCATTTGTTCATTTATCCTGTCGGTGGGAATAATGTACTCATTTTCTTTTCAATCACGTCACTCTGAAAGTGAGCTTAATGTTAGAACATTGTCTGCTTAGATTCATTAAGAAATCATTATGAAACAGGTTTACCTGCACAAGGTGTGATCGGGGCACCCAGTAATCAACAGAGGCATTCCCTTTCCCGTTCCCTGGGAGCTTACTGTAAGCTTTGGTCAAATCTTCTTGCTCTTTCACCAAAGTGGCCAACTGTTGAAAGGCACAAAATTTATTATAGCCTCCTGGTAATGTCTTCTTGAAAACAGCTGCAAAAAAAAAATCAGTGTTCTCCTTTGACATAGAATGAAATAAAGTCTTAATTAGGTCCTCAATTGGTTGTCGTGCCTTATAGTTGAACATGTAGTTACATTATTCAATGACCAATTAGATTCAATGAACACTTACAACACAGAGGGTGGCCATTATGTTGGTGTTGGCTCTTTTCTGGAACAGCAACAATAATGTAAGAAACAGGAGCAGCAACAGGCCATTCAGCCCCTTGAATCTGTTCTGCCATTCAGTAGTGGTTGATCTGAAGGTAGCCTTAACCCCAGTTTCCTGCCTCTCCCCCAAAGCCCTGGACTCCCTTGTAGATCAAAAATCATTCTAACTCCACGTTGAACGTATTCAATGGCACAGCCTACAGTGCTTGAAAATGAGAGTTTCACATTCTAACAACCCTCTTTCTTCTCATTTCTTTCTGATGTAGGAAATAACTGCAGAAGTGGGCTGTTTAGCCCATCAAGCCTGCTTCACCATTGCATAGGATCCTGATTGATTCTCCACCCCTATGCTATTTTCTCCACATTCCCCATATCCCTTGGTGTTTTAACTATGTAGAAATCTTCGGTTCAATCAATCCACGCTGACCATGTTCCCAAAATAAACTAGTCCCACCTGCCTGCATTTGGCCCATATCCCACAAAACCTTTTCTATTCATGTACTTATTTAAATGTCTTTTAAATGTTGTAGCTCTACCTGCATCCACCACTTCCTCTGGCAGTTCCTTTCACACACTAACCACTCTTGGTGTAAAAAAGTTGCCCATCCTATCCTTTTTAAATCCTTCTCCTCTCACCTGAAAAATATGCCCCTTAGTTTTGAACTCCCCCACCTTAGGGAAAAGACTTTCACTATTCACCTTATCTCTGCCCCTCTTGACTTTATAAATATCTATCAGGTTACCCCTCAACCCCCAAAGCTCCAGTGAAAAAAGTCACAGCCTCTTCTCATAACTGAAACCACATTCCTGGCAACATTCTCATAAATCTTTTCTGAACAAAGACCTTTTCAGGTCTTCGACCTGTCTGTCTCCTCTCCACCTATCTTCTCCTCTATCCATCTTCTATCCGCCTCCTCCTCTCTCCCTATTTATTTCAGAAACCCCTTCTCCTCCCCCATTTCTGAAGAAGGATCTAGGCCCGAAACGTCAGCTTTCCTGCTCCTCTGATGCTGCTTGGCCTGCTGTGTTCATCCAGCTCTACACCTTGTTATCTCACCTTCTTAACCACCCCGTTTACCTGTGAGGCAAATTTCAATGTATTATGTACCTGAACCCCTCAGTCTCTCTGTTCTACAACACTACCCAGGGCCCTAATATCAATTGTACAAGTTCTGCCTTTGTTTTACCAAAATGCAACACCTCGCATTTATCCAAATTAAACTCCATCTGCCACTCCTCAGCCCATTGACCCAATTGATCAAGATCTCTTTGTAATCTTAGATAACCTTCTTCACTACACCACCAAATTAGGTGTCATCTGCAATCTTACCAACCATGCCTCCTATATTCTCATCCAAATCATTCATACAAATGACAAAACTAAAGTGGACCCAGCGCCGATCCCTGTGGATCACTGCAGGTCACTTCTTCCCTTTCGGAAGGATCGGACACAGGAGGGACACACAGATGTAATGGAAGTTATCGAGGGAACGTTAACAGAGTTTGTCTGATCAAAGTTCATGCAATCCACCTGATGGCAGGTCAAGGAAAACCAATCCTCCCAGGGTGCCCTACCTGTTCAGTCATTTCTTGGCTGCGTTTGCTGAAGCTGTGGTTCTCCCTCTGGAGAGTTTGAGACAACTGTTGTTCGAACGTCAGTGTCTCCTGCAGCCCCTTCGAAAACAGATTGCTACAGTTTATCATCGTGTACCAATTAATCACGCTCTCACAGAACACCCAGAGCTGTCCAAGTTCAGAAGCTGCATGTCCCCTGTTTTTTATTGTCTGTTCAGTCCATAGTGTCTTTACACTGTTTCACGGTGTACCTTAGGGAGAACGTCTTGTGATCATCCTGTGCTCAACAATCCAGCTTGGTTCATTGCCAGGCACACAGCCTATGGGGGAACATATGATGCTTCCCCATGTGGGAGAGTGTGGAACTCCAAGAACACCATCTGAATATAAAGGGATCACCTATTTAAGATGTCAATGAGAATTATTTTTTCTGAGAGGCTCGCCAGTCTGTGGAGTTCACCTCAGTTTGTTCCCGGGATGGAGGAGTTATCTTCAGAAGGGCTTCCAAACGCACAACTTTCACCATCTAGACAGACGAGGGGCAATAGATATATGGGAACGCCACCATTTGCAAGCTCCCCTCCAAGACACTCACCATGTTGAGTTGGAAACATATCGCCGTTCCTTTGTCGTCGCCGAGTCTAAGCCCTGAGGCTCCCTCTACCTGCACGGTGGGATGTGTCTACACTGAATGGGCTGCAGCAGGTCAGGAAGGCACCTCATCACCAACTTCACCAGGAGCAATTAGGGATGTACAATTAATAGTGACATTCTTTACTGGAGAGGGTTTTTGAGGTTGGGTTATTTAGTACATGCAAGGCTGAGACAGACAGATTTTTAATCCATAAGGGAATCAGGGGGTATGGGTAAAAATGGGAATGTGGAGTTGGTGATCATCAGATCAGCCAGGAGCTCACTGAATGCGGGAGCAGATGTGATGGGCTGAATGGCCAACTTCTGCTCCTATGTCTGATGGTCTTTTAAATGCTGGTCCAGCCAGTCCCTCAAAAGGATAAAAAGAAATGAGCAAATTCAACGTATAGAGCTGGAGGAACACAACTTTCCTGCTCCTCTAATGCTGCCTGGCCTGCTGTGTTCCTCCAGCTCCACACTGTGTTATCTCTGACTCCAGCATCGGCAGTTCTTGCTACCTCTGAGCAAATTCAACTTCTTGACTAGCTCAAAGCAATTAGGGTGACACGGTGACATGGTGGCTCAGTGGTTAGCACTGCTGCCTCACAGCGCCAGGGACCCAGGTTTGATTCCAGCCTCGGGTGACTGTCTGTGTGGAGTGTGCACATTCTCCCCGTGTCTACGTTGGTTTCCTCCGGGTGCTCCGGTTTCCTCCCACAGTCCAAAGATGTGCAGGTTAGGGTGGATGGGCCATGCTAAATTGTTCCATTGTGTCCAGAGATGTGTAGGCTAGGTGGGTTAGACATGGGAAATTCAGGGTTACATAGATGGGGGGGCTCTGAGTGAGATGCTTTTTGGAGGGGCAGTGTGGACTCAATGGGCCGAATGGCCTACTTCCACGCTGTAGGGATTACTATGATAGTGTCCAAAATAAACTGGTCACACAAGTAGTGAACTGCAAGATTAAAAACACACAGCCAAAACAAAGTGTCTGACCTGGGACACATCACTGAAAATGAAACAACGGATTAACCTTTCCGAGTACTGAATGTACTTTGAAACTTCCACGATCATTAACTGCTGAACAAAAAAAAGATTTGCCTTCACTCTGTAACTCAGTGACTTGAATCTGACCACTTAGGAGAAGTGATTAAAATGGAAAAAGTTCTCCACCGCTCAGTGCTTTTTCCTTGAAGTTAACAAACAGAAAATTTTGTCCAAAACTTTAAGAACTGGAAAACCTGATCATTTAATCTGAAACATGGCAATGAATATAGACAGCTTGATGTTCACTTTCTGGTAAATAATTGGAATTCAATTCGATTCTTTGAGTCATTGGGTGAGTATTTTGGTGAGTCATTTCATTCACCTCATCATCCCCCTAACAGAGTGTCAATCTGTGAAGACAAACAGCAATGACTAACCACAGCAGTTTATTCATCAGATATCTAAAAGCATCACATCCAAAAAAATCTGCTCTGATGACCCAAGTTGGTGAAAGGATTATTCCCTGCAGAACTAAATCTGCTACAAGATTGTTGCCAGGGTTGGAGGGTTTGAACTACAGGGAAGAGGCCGAATAGACTGGGGTTATTTCCCTAGAGCGTTGGAGACTGAGGGGTGACCCTATAGAGGTTTATAAAATCATGAAGGGCATGGATAGGGTGACTAGCCAAAGTCTTTTCCCTGGGGTGGGGAGAGTCCAAAACTAGGGGGCATTGGTTTAAGGTGAGAGGGGAAAGATTTAAAAGGGACCTGAGAGGCAACTTTTTCATGCAGAGGGTGGTGCATGTATGGGATAAGCTGCCAGAGGAAGTGGCGGAGGCTGGTACAATTACAACATTTAAAAGGCATCTGAAGGTGTTTGATATGCTTGACTTTATTGGTCAGTGCATTGAGTATAGGAGTTGGGAGGTCATGTTGCAGCTGTACAGGACATTGATGAGGCGTAAGTTAGTGATGGCTGAAGGTTTCGGAATGGAGAGCCAGACATAGGGAAAGTTGGTGGTGAACACGATCAAGCTTAGCATGTTACAGTCACATAGTCTGCACTCAAATCACACCGTAGGTGCAGACTTGGATTCTCATTTAGGACAAGCACTGCAGGATAGCTAATGCCCTTGGGGGTCCTCCAGGAGAGATGGGAGGGGCACTGTGAGGTGATGAGGATGAGGGAAACCATTACAAGGGTTTGAAATTCACTGCAGGTCACAGAGCAGCAACAGAAAATGTCTGAGTGGTAAACATTCTTCCTGACCACAATGCTGCCATTGCACAATAACTAAACTAAATGACCGCTGTTAAACTTATGCCATTTGATTTTCAGTTTGATTAGTGAATCAGTCAGGTCAAAACAGGGCTGAAATGTCAACATCCTCATTTACGATAACAAGTCTCGGCTACATTATTATAGCTGTCAGAGTGAATCCATTATCAAACCACCCCCAATGCGTCCAGAAGTTCAGTTAATGTACAAACATCTTCCATTGATGGTCTGACATCAGAGTCTCTACAACATAAGAGCATAGAAACTAGGAGCAGGAGTAGGCCATTCAGCCCTTCAAAATTGCTCCACCATTCTATATAATCATGGAAGATCAGCCAGCACAGTACCCTGTTCCCAATTTCTCTCCTTACCCTTTGAACCCTTTGGCCCTAAGAACTATATCTAACTCCTTCTTCAAAGTATTCGATGTTTTAGCTTCAATTGCTTTCTGTGGCAGAGAATTCCACAGGCTCACCACTCTCTGATTGAAGAAAATTCTCCTCACTCAGTCTAAAATGGCCTACCCAGTATTCTTAGACTGTGACGCCTGGTTTTAGGCTCCCCAGTCATCAGGAACATCCTTCCTGTGTTTACCTTGTCTTATCTTATTGGCATTTTATAGGTTTCTATGAGACCCTCCTCATTATTCTAAATGTCAGTGAATATAATCCTAACCAACCCAGTCTCTCTTCATACATCAGTTCTGCTCTCCCAGGAGCAATGAAACATGCTGTCTAATTACCAATATAATCCTACTGTTGCTGCTTCTCAAGCATCCCAATATGAAATGACTATGATTGTTATGATGAGCATTTTGCAGTAGCATTGAACACCCCATAACAACCCTTTGACATGTAAGAGGAGTAGCTAAATCCTTTGCTAATGGTACTGGAACAGTCAGGTGCCATGCTCTTTGTACTGAGAACACACTGACAGAGGTGTAACAGGGTCATCACTCAGACACAACCTCAAAGTCTGAACAGTACCTCTGGCTCTAAAATAAAACAAAGAACAGCAGATGCTGAAGATCTAAAACGAGCAGAAGTTGCTGGAGAAACTCAGCGGTTCTGGCAGCATCTGACAGACTTAACATTTCGAATCCAGTGAGCCTTCAGTTCTGAACATGGGTCACTGGACTCCAAACGTTAACTCTGTTTCTCTCTCCACAGATACTGCCAGACCTAGAGTCACACAGCAGGGAAACAGTCCGCACTGACTAGACACATCCCAATCTCAATCTTCACCATCCTGTCTACCTGTGACACCACTTTCTAGAAGCTATGCACCTGCATCCCTACGTCTATTTGTTTGGCAACACTCCCCAGGGCCCGACCATTAGCTGTATAAGCCCTGCTGAGTTTCTCCAGCACTTCCCTCATTTGTTACCTCTGAGGCTAATTGGCATTAACTGTAAAATGCGATGGGTCCCTGCTACTTAATAAACAAGAAAGCAATTATGTTGTACATCAGTCATGACTGGCAAAAACTGGTTGCACACATGCCTCTAAGTCAGAAGATCATGTTGCACTCCAGGGAGCTGAGCGCAAGAATCCAGTGTGGAGCTAAGGAAGTGCTGCATTGTCAGAGGAGTAGTCTTACAGATGAGATGCTGAATCAGGCGCTCCATCTGCCCTCTCAGGTAGATATAAAAGATTCCCTGGCACTATTTCGAAATGCACCAAGGGAGAGCTCCTCAGTGTCTTGGCTAAAATTTATACCTCAAGCATCTCACACAAAAAGAACACAAAGCTGCTTATGGGATCTTGCTGTGCACCTCACATTTCAAGAGTGACTGCGCTTTGAAAAGTTGCCAGTTTGCTGCCCTGGCACATCCTGAGGTTGTGAAAGCCACTGCACAAAGGTCAGTCTTGTCGTGTTATTGTAAATAAGTGGTTAAATCTTTGTTGCATAATTCACAAAGTGTCTCTGATTGTTGTAACCCATTCTTCCAGAGGGCGTCCAGCAGCACATACCAGGTCTCTCTCTGGTAGTTACTCTCCACGTGATGAAAGAAAATGGAGACATCCAACTCCTTTAGAGCAAGTGGGGTCTCCAGCTCAGAAAGGCTCCTTGAGCAGAGGGATCTTGGGGTTCAAATCCATACCTCCCTGAAAGTGGCCACACAAGTAGATAGGGTGGTAAAGTTGCCTTTATTGTTCGGGGCACTGAGTAAAGGGTCAGGATGCCATATTGCAGCTTTATAAGACTTTGGTTGGGCCACACTTAGAGTATGGTGTTCCATTCTGATCGTCACATTACAGGAAGGATGCGGAGGCTTTGGAGGGGTTGCTGAAGAGATTTACCAGGATGTTGCCTGGATTAGAGGGTATGAACTATAAGGAGAGGCTGGAAAAACTTGGGTTGTTTTCTCTGGAAGATGGTAGATGAGACAGGGAAAGTTCAAAGGAGATGCGAGGGGCAGGGTTTTCACACAGAGTGGTAGGAACCTGGAACACAGGGATGGTAGTGGAGGCAGATACAACAGGATCATTTAAGAGGCTTTTAGATAAACACATAAATATGCAAGGAATGGAGGGATATGGATTAACGGCAGGTAGACAGAATTGGTTTAATTTGGAGTCATGTTCGGTAAAACATTGTGGACCAAGGGGCCCGTTCCTGTTTGTACTGTTCTATGTTCCACGTCCTAAAGGGGTAAAAGTGGAATTGAAGTAGCAAAGATTATCTGAGCAACAGTGGAAAGGACAGAGGCAGTTTAAGAGCAACAGCAGTGGCTAATCAGCAGGCCTACCATGGGAAAGGTCATATCTGATCTGATTATTCAGCCTTAAGCATCTGACAGACTGGACCCCCTCCAGAGGCTAGGAAACTTCACAAAATTACTGGAGTTTCTCATGAGTTTCGAAGAACAGCAGGTGGAGAAAAATTGTCATCCATTCACTTGAGAGTGCAGGATCAGGATATCCAAGGTCAGGTTTTAATTTATATAGGCCCAGGAATTCAAAGTTAATCAGGAGATCTCACTCACAGGACAAAACCACCTCGCTATAATGTTGAGTCAAAGGCAGCTCATTCTCACTATTGCTCACTGCAAGTGAAAAAGCCAGAGTGTTGACAAGATCAAAAGCACATGTCGCTCTTTAATGAGTGCCTCAAACATTTTCATTACTTTGATCCCCTCTTTTGGAACAAGTGTGAAGATATAAGCAGATGCACATTAAAGCCACTTTTAATCTGATCAAGAAAATGTTCATTGCAAAACAGTGCAGGGACACAAAGCAGCTTCCTTCAGATTTCAATTGCTGTCAGTTTTACAACATCCCCGACTTTAGCTCAGATGGGACAGAGGATCTTAAAATGACAACAGCTAAGAGAGAGCAAAACCCAAGGGACTGAACCACAATTTGCATTTTATATGGAACGTAGGAAAAGTCCCACCTTAACAGGAATGCAACCAGAAAAGAATTTTGACATTAAACCAAAGGAGGAGATGCAGTCAAAGGCTTGATCAAAGACAAATACTCTAGAGGTTGTCCCACTGGACGGTTAGAGAGGCAGAGTGGGGTCGTTGTTAATAACGTCTGGCTCAGTTTGCTCCTGTTCTTTTCAAGTCTAGTGTTTATGACAGGAAGGACAAGCGGAAGAAACGGGGATCTGAAACTTGGAGTCCAAAACACAGATGAATGTGTGCTACCATTGCCAGCATTGAACTCCCTCATTCAGATGTACCTGAAGCCTCCTTGGCTGACGATATTGCCACCGCTGGCACTGAGAGCAACAATGGGCAGTTTCTTTCACTCACTTGTGGGATGTGGGCATCACTGGCTCGGTCAGCATTTATTGCCCATCCCTGGTTACCCTTGAAAGGTTGCCCTTCAGAAGGTAATAGAATCCCTACAATGGGAAAGCAGGCCATTCGGCCCATCAAGTCCACATTGACCCTCCAGACGTAACCCCCGACCCTATCCCTGTAACCCCACGTTCCCCGTGGCTAACCCACCTAGGCTGCACATCCCTGGACACTACGGGTAATTTAGCATGGCCAATCCAACATAACCTGCACATTTTTGGACTGTGGGAGGAAACCAGAGCACACACAGGGATAACGTGCAAACTCCACACAGACTGAGGGTGGAATTAAACCTCGGTGCCAGGCACTGTGAGGCACTGAGCCCCGTGTCGCCCAGTGGTGGTGAGCTGCCTTCTTGAACAGCTGCAGTCCCTGTGCTGTAGGGAGACCCACAATACCCTTAGGATTAGTAAAGGAACGGGCAAGGCAGGACTGTGAGGGCTGTAGGAGTAGACAATGGAGGAAAGAGGTCAGAGTCTTCTAAACGGGAGCAAGTCCACTGCCTGTCAAGCTGTAGCTGCAGGTTTCTCTTGATGGTTCCTTGCACTTACATACAAGCAGGACCATTTTAACCCATGTGGAGATTTCCAGTGAGGAGTTACAATGGAGTTCCACCTACCTTGGTGAGGACCTGCACCTCATTCAGTGATTTCAGGGTCGTTTCCCGCTGTGCCTGGAGCTCGCTGTTCCTGGCACTGTAATCTAAACAGCAAAAAACAACAACATGACACATTCCTACCCTGGCTGCAAGTGGTGTGCACCCAGAATGTAGACTGTAGGTGAAAGTGCACACTTCCTACTGGATATTAGCGCTGAACAATCATTTGCCCCCATAACAGGGCCAGCAGATCTCAGTTATAAATCGCTCATGCCACAGATTAGATTCTCACTGGTAACTGTGTTTAACTTCTAGGGAACAGCACCTCAGATAGACAACTCATGATTAAACATTCATTCGCCTGGTGTTGACAGCTCTAGGCTCTATGTAGCAATGACTGACATCCATATAGCGCCTATAGCAATTGAGCATTCAATTCATTTCTTAAGAGCATTATTACAATAAATTTTTAAAAAAACACAGACTAGAAATATGGAATCGACTGGGTTAAATAGCATCCTCCTGGCCTCACATTAATTTTATGTCTCTCTGTTAAATATATAAAGGTCATCCTGCTAGATTGACAGTAATGCAAACCCTGCCAAATTAAACATACCTGCACAAAAATTAACTCATGGTGCCTCAATGTTCACATCTTTGACTGCATCACACATATATCAGCCAGCAAATCTTTACCGTTAAGAAGATTTCTAAGCGAAAGAAAAACTAGCAAATCAAAGGGAGAGAAGGGACTTGCACTTGTATTGCAACTTTCATAACCTTAGAATATCCCAAAGAGCTTTGTAGACAATGGTATACTTTTCAGGTGCAATCGCTGTTTTGTGTAGGAACTGTGGCATCCAATTTGTGTGAGGTGTTTCTTCACTGCCGTGTTTAACATATTTTACTAAACAACCTGTTCAGAGATGACATGACACACCTCTGGACCAGGTGGGACTTGAACCTGGGCTTCTTGACTCAAAGTACGAACACTACCACTGTGCCACACCTCCCAGTTCAATGATTCTACCCTTGATTACATGAGTCTGTTTACAATTGATGCTCACTGTGCTTGATTGGGGTAGACTGCGACAAAAGCAACCAAAGTTGTAGAGAGCCAGAAGGGAGAGTGGTAGCATGGTGCAGACATTGTGAACCCTGTGGATAAAAGCTGTTACACACATAGCCTGGAAATGAGAATAATATAGATTTTGGCAGTACAGACTCGATGGGCCAAAGGGTCTTTTCTGTACGGTATGATTCCATATGAACCAATGTCATCTCTGCATTGCTGAGAGAGCTAAAATGTACACCAGCAGGGTAGATAACCTGGGGAGGCAATGGCCTAGTGTTATTATCACTGGACTGTTAATCCAGGCAATGTTACAGGGACCTGGGTTCAAATCCTGCCATGGCAGATGGTGGAATTTGATTTCAATAAAATCTGAAAGAGTCCAATGCTGATTGTTGGGAAAAACCCATCTGGTTCACTATTGTCCTTTAGGAAAGGAAACTGCCATCCCTACCTGGTCTGGCCTCCATGTGACTCCAGACCCACAGCAATGTGGTTGACTTTTAACCACCCTCTGGGAAATTCGGGATGGACTGGTCTAACCAGAGATGCCCTCATCCCATGAATGAGCTTAAAAAAATGAACGCTCTACAGTGCACTGCGGAAGGTACATGTCCTCACATCATATCTTTGGCCTCTTACTCAGCTACTACAACATATTAAAAAAAAATTCATGACAGAGGCACCCAGTAACAAGAACTATTGAGAGCGTGACAGGACGGAAATTAGCTTCGACAGTGAAAGAGAAGGAAGTAGCCAATAAATTTAAGAATTGAAAGAAAGCAGGAAGGAGGGGGCAACCAAAAGAAACAATGATCAGCAAAAGCGATCTGAGCAATGGAGAAATGAGTGAAAGAAAGAGAAAGCATTGTTGTGGGAGAGTTGGAGTGAGAATACAACGAGTGATGCAAGAGACATCAGGAATAAGAGAGGTGGTTAATAATGAAAGAACCAAAAAAAGAGGAAGACAGAGATGACAAATAAAATCAAGGAAAATAAGAAGACACAACTAAGAAAGAATATAACAAACATTAGGTAAGACAGAGATTTAAAAATAAACCAATAGCAGTGACTCAGGAGCCTCAACAATCAAGCGCCACTATCATCTCTCATTGGCTGAACTGTTCGTCCTTCAGCCGACCTCATTCTGGGGAAGAAGGGGCAATAGTAAGAAATTACTACCCAGGGGATAAATCACACAAGGAGACCACAACAACACAGTGAACTGTACCTTGCAATTTGGAGCTCATTTCTTCCATAAAGGAATCACAACGAGCACACTTCCGAATGGGAGAACTGCAACAGAAGAAAAGGAGGCATTAATAGTTTCTGCAGGCCTAAGCAATAAGAACTACAGCCAGCGACATTACCAGACAAATATTCTTGCATCCAACTCCTCTTCACATCACTCTAATTGAAACTTGAATCTGCTTATTTAAAAGGGAAGCACCTTTAATGTGCCTAATTGCATGTGTTACAGTTCAGGGGGAATCTGTGTTCACTTCTGCCTACATGTTGCAAACTGGGGCAATGGATAGTGAGAATATAGAGGCTCCAACAATATTTTCATCTCATGACTGACCAAGAATGCATCTGGCTTGTACCTTTTGCCGCTGGCTTGTGTTAGGATGCTCCGTGACCAAACAGGTTGAGTACATAGTGATGTAGTGTGACCATACTGTGGCTTTAAGAGATGTATTTTTTTATCCTGGGGTTTTTTGAAGAGAGGTTTTAAGGCAGAGGTACCAAGCAATCTACCAGAGCCACTAGAGTAAACAGCTTGAGAGTCCTTGGGGGGAGGTGTAGAGCTGGCTCACCTTTACTGGCTCTATCCCCGCCTCTTTGACCTGTCGGTCTCCTCTCCACCTACCTGCTCCTTTATCCATCTTCCATCCGCCTCCCCCTTTCTTCCTATTTATTTCAGAACCCCCTCCCCCTCCTCCATTTCTGAAGAAGGGTCTAGACCCGAAACGTCAGCTTTCCTGCTCCTTTGATGCTGCTTGGCCTGCTGTGTTCATCCAGCTTTACACCTGGCTATCCAAGAGTCCTTGGGTTTTTGTTTTAAAAGTTGGAACAATAGAAGCAGCCTGAGTGGGTGTGCTCAGGCTCCCACAGAACCAAGGGTGCTGAACACATGGAAGCTACTCTTTTCCCCTCTCCCAGTTACAGCCAAAAGCTGGGGGTTTTCCTCCTGCTGCTATAGTTGCATGTGAGACAAACTGTTTTTCTGAATTTGCCTTTTGCTGAGGGATGTTATTGTTTGGGAACAGTTAATTAGTAATAGTTACTGTATCTATTGTTCGGTTAAGTTTTCCAATAGAGTTAAGTTATTCCAACTCCTCTTTTCTTTTGCTGTATTTTAACTATAGTTAATGAATAAAGCGTGTTTTGCTTTAAATCTGGTGGTTTGATCAATGAAATTGCATCTGTAATGCAACGCCTTACATTTACTTCTAAAATAAGAAAAAGTTAGGGTCCAGATTATCATCTTAGTATTTTGAGGGGAATTGGTCTCATCCATAACATGTAGGGACAGAAGCACTGGACTGATAATGGGAAGACCCAGGTTGATGGCTTGGGGACACAGGTTCAAATCCCAGAGCGGCAGTTGGCGAAATTTAAATTCCTGGAATGGGAAACTAATCCTAAAAACCCATCAGATTCACTCACATCCTTCAGAGAAGGTACTGCAGTCCTTACCTGGCCTGCTTGGGTGTCCCGACCCACAGTAATGTGGTTGACTCTTAAAAGCATCTTGAGATGCTTGAGGAAGCCATTCAGTTCAAGGGCATTTAGGGATGGACAACAAATGCTGGACTTGGCAGCAATGGCCACATCCTATAGAAGGATAAAAGGGTCCCGACCCGAAACATCAACTTTCCTGCTCCTCTGATGTTGCCTGACCTGCTGTGTTCCTCCAGCTCCACGCTGTGTTATCTTGGCATTCAAACCCTGGATTGAGACTTGAAGCCCAAACGTCAGACTTTGAAGCAGGAATACTAGGAACTATGCTACAAGACCTCAATGTGTGTAATTTTTTGGGATTTCCACAGACATAACAGTTAGGGAAGGTTGGATGAGCAATCTGGAGTTCAAATCTCATGACAGCAAAAACTAATCATGATTATCATCATGGAAATGCTAAATTAGAAAAGGGAACCACACAGTTGTTCCTAATCCAGCCTCCACATAATTCCACTTCCCACAATCAGCTCAATTCCATCAAGGACAAACCTCTATAATACCTCGTCCAGAGGGGAATTCAAAGCACATTGCAACCAATTTGTGACTTTGGAAGGATTTTACAGTCCATGCTCAGTGGCCATGAGGCAAGATCAGGTTATGACGGTTGAGAGAGAAACATTGGCCAGAACACCGAGGAGAACTCCACTGTTTTTCAAACAGCGCCTCAGGATTTTTTGCATTCACCTGAGAACATGCATAGGACATTGGTGTAAGTGTCCGTTGAAAGAAGGTACTCCAAACAACGCAGTACAGTACAGTACACTGAAGGCTAGACTGAACTGGGACCTGAGTTGAAAGTGCCAGGTAAAATGCCCATCGAAGTAGCCTTGTAGAAGCCACCACTCTATCAGGGTGGTGAGCATTAGCAGTAAATTTGGCCTTGCTAGATGCCAACTAAAAGTGATCTGTCTCCAAGGGGTGGCACAGTGGCTAGCACTGCTGCCTCATAGCACCAGGGACCCGTGTTCGATTCCCCCCTCGACTTTCTGTGTGGAGTTTGCATGTTCTCCCTGTGTCTGTGTGGGTTTCTTCCGGGTGCTCTGGTTTCCTCCCACAGTCCAAAGATGTACAGTTTAGGTGCATTGACCATGCTAAATTACCCATAGTGTCCAGGGATGTGCAGGTTATTTGGATTAGCCATGGGAAATGCGGGGTTGAGTGTAGGGTGTGGGTCTGGGTGGGATGCTCTTTGGAGGGGTTGGTGTGACTCAATGGGCTGAATGGCCTGCTTCCACACTGTAGGGATTCTAAGGTGGATATTTTGGTTTTATCAAGCCAAGAACAGTCCATTCTTTTTCCACTACAATTGGAGCAAATTGTGTATCATGGATCAGTTATTGGTTCAGAGGTCACGGGTTCAAACCTAGCTCTGTAGATCCGAGTGCAATAACGTCAGGAGTGAAAGTAGGAGAAAGTGTTGCAGTGGGAGAATTGGAGTGAGAAAAACTAAAGAAAGCTGCAAGCGACTCCAGGAATAAGAAGGTTTTTGTCCCCCATTTGTTCATTCATGATTGCTGGCTAGGGCAGTATTTACTGCCCATCCCTAATTGCCCAGAGGACAGTTAAGAGACAACCACATCGCTGTGGGTCTGGAGTCACATGTAGGCCAGACCAGGTAAGGATGGCAGTTTCCTTCCCTAAAGGACATTAGTGAACTAGATGGGTTTTTCCAACAATTCATTGTCATCACTAGACTCATAATTCCAGTTTTATTTAAAGTGAATTCAAATTTCAACCATCTGCCGTGGTGGGATTCAAACACAGGTCTCTGGATTAACAGTCCAGCGATAATACCACTAGGCCACGCCTTGTCTATGTTAATTATGAAAGAACCAAGAAAGGATGGAGAGAGAGATAACAAATAAAATCAAGGAAAATAAAAAGACACAACTAAGGAAGAATATAATAAACATTAGGTAAGACAGAGGTTTAAAAATGAACCAATCGTAGTGACTCAGAAAACACAACAATCAATCAAGACTATCATCTCCCATCGGCTGACACTCCAATGCAGTACTGGAGGGAGTGCTACACTGTCAGAAATACTGTTGCATGGATGAAATATCAAACTGAGGTCTCCTCTATGCTGTCTGGTGGGTGTAAAAGATGCTGGGCACTTTTGTGAAGAAAATTTCACCAACAGACCTTGTCAACATTCATTCATCAACCAGAAACAGCAAAGACTCTCATCTGTTCACATTCCCATTGCAGGATCTTGCTGTGAACAAATTGGTTGCCGGATTTCCTGCAACATTGGACCCTCTCCCAGGGGGTTACCAGATATGACTCTCTGTCCTACCTCTGGTGCTTCTCGGATTCTTCATTCGGTCCCTTTTGTTGGTGAAGTTCTCCCAAAACTTCCACTTCGGCCAACTGCAAAACATCAACAAGGACAGAGTGACTGTGATCAGAGTGATGGGCCATTATCTGCAAAGAATGACTTTGGAACTCTGGAAAATATCCAGGTGCTGCACAGAAACACAATTTCACATTGGCCCACATAAGGAGGTATTAACAAAGGTGACCAGTAGCTTGGTCACAGATAGGTTTTGTGGATAGGTCTTAAAGGAGGAAAAGAAGAGGGATTTAAGAACTAAATTTCAGAGTTCAGGTCCGAGACAGGTGGAAGTACGAGCATCAATGGTAGACTGATTAAAAAGGACCCAACTTGGACATATGCAGAGATTCCAGATTTGGAAGTCTTCAAAGATCTAAAGACTCCTAGGGGACCCAGTGTGAGTTACATTGTTTCCCAAATAGGCTTCTCCCCTGAGCAGGAAATTGACACTCCAAGCAGAATGCTGATGGGACCCACCAATTAAGTCTTTTTACCTGGAATCACAAATCCCAGATTCTGATAGTGATGTGGCAAGACTGGGAATCAGCATTGGCTATAATTGCCATTGCCCTGTGGCCATATAGCTTAATATGCAATTAATTTATTAATATATTATATACAAGCCTGTTCATAGCAATTGGCCAATTCAGAGAGATTTCACACTGGAAGCCTGTGATACCAAATCCTTTTGTGTTTCAGTAATGTCAGAGCCAGAGGTAGACAAGGTCAAAAATCACACGACACCAGGTTATAGTCCAACAGGTTTATTTGAAGACACAAACTTCCAGAGTCTCAGTCCTTTTTCAGGTGTCAGTGAGAGGGGTGGCATCAGACACAGAATTTATAAGTAAAAGATCAAATGGTCATAGAACTGATGTGGTGTTTAACAAAACCTAAGATGGCTGTTAAATCTTTAACCAGTTAGATAGTGTTAATATGCAAATTCCTGAATTTCTTTCAAGTCGCTGCCCCAAGATAACTAAAGGTTTTATCAGTTCCCTCAGTATACTAAAGGTGACACACGCCAGGTCAAACAAGGCCTCACACCTAAAATGCATTGTCTGACCTGGTGTGTCATCTTTAGTATACTGAGGGAATATCTCAGGGCAGTGACTTGAAAGAAATTGGGGAATATGCATACTAATCCTTTTGAACTGATTAAAGATTTAACAGCCATCTTAGGTTTGTTCAACACCTCATCAATTCTATGACCCTTTGATCTTTTGCTAATAAATTCTGCCACCGACGCCACCTCTCTCACTGTCACCTGAAGAAGGATTGAGACTCTGAAAGCTTGTATCTTCAAATAAACCTCTCGGACCTAGCAAAAACTGAAAGAACTGCGGATGCTGTAAATCAGGAACAAAAAAACAGAAGTTGCTGGAAAAGCTCAGCAGGTCTGGCAGCATCTGTGAAGGAAAAAATCAGAGTTAACGTCTCAGGTCCATTCTGAGGAAGTGTCACCAGACCCGAAACTTTAACTCTGATTCTTTTTCTTCACAGATGCTGCCAGACCTGCTGAGATTTTCCAGCAACTTCTGTTTTTGCTCCTGGACCTAGTCTGTGATTTTTGACCTTGTCCACCCCAGTCCAACGCTGGCACTTCCATATCAGAGCCAAAGGTAGAATACAAATCACAGCACGTAGAAACTTAACAAGAGGTAGGGAGAAACCTTTAACTAACAAACCTTCAGTTCCAATGATGAAATCTTAATTTCGAGTTCAGTCTTCTCAGTCTTTCTGAGCCTCTCAATTTGTCTTAATGCTTGCTCCCTGGAGTCACAATAAAGAGGTTAAGAAAGTGTTAGTAAACAATTCTGGGGCGGTATGGCTATTTCTTCAGATGTACCTGCGTCCTCCCAATACTTTAGCCAAGGCGACAAACTATTGCTAAGATGTTTAGCATATTTATTCCGGAGTGTAGGAGTCACTGGTATTTATTGCCCATCCCTAGCGGCCCTTAAGGTGTCAGTAGTGTGCCACCTTCTCATTGTATTCCTCACGCTGAAGATTTCCTCATAGAACCGTCAGGCAGGGAGTTCCAGGATTCTGACCCAGTGACAATGAAGAAACAGGCTGTAAAGGTGCCCAGAAGCACTCCAGTTTTCATAGAATCCCTACAGTATGGAAACAGGCCATTCGGCCCAACAAGTCCACAGCCCCTCCGAAAAGAATCCCACCCAGACCCATTCCCCTACCCCAACATTTCCCCATGTCTACCCACCCAACCTAAACATCCCTGGGCACTATGGGCAATTTCCCATGGCCAATCCACCCTAACCTGCACATCTTTGGACTGTGGGAGGAAACCGGAGCACCCGGAGGAAACCCACTCAGACACGGGGATAACGTGCAAACTCCACACAGCTCAAGGCTGGAATCAAACCCAGGTCCCTGGTGCTGTGAGGCAGTGGTGCTAACCACTGAGCTATCGTGCCACTTACTTTATACTCCATTTCCTTTGTATTACAGACCAACATTTCATTTGCCTTCCCTTTTACCCACTGAACTTAGATGATCGTGATTGGGATTCATGCATAGGGACCCCTAGATCCCTTGGTGCTGCAGCTTTCTGCAGTCTTTCCCCATTTAAGTAATATTCTCCCTAGGAGACTTGTTAATGTGTGGAAATCTCTCCCCAGCAGAACAGTCAAGACTGGTCATTGAACAGGATCAAGGTTAAGTTAGACTTTAATCAACAGGAGAGTCAATGGTTTTGGGGATCAGACAGATCGGTGGAGTTAAGATCACAATCAAATCAGATCCCCTTGAAAGGTAGAGCAGGATCAGCAGGCTGAATGGCCTACTCCTGCACCTAAACCTTTTGTTCTTGTAGATCACTGCAAGGCAGATAGAACACCAGTTTCTAAGTACACAACAGATTTATTTATTGTGCCTTCAAATGTCACTACAAACACAAAATGTCTGCACTTAACCCGATCTCAGTTTCAGCATCTAGCAGTTTCTGTGCTGTCTGATAACTTTGGTTCTGAGGTAACACCAAGGCTTAACCAATCAAGCACCATGAGCATAGATCAGTGACCAGACTCTCAGAATTGAATACTGGGCAATTAAATATCCATACCTCTACTTCACATCACATCTGTTATACATTTAACCAATAGTAAGTAAGCTGGATAATGGATACTGTCTCCCCTTCCTCCTGAAAATTTATCCACTCAGTCTGGTAGTTTACTTAGAACAGTGTCACCTACTGTGATTGGATGCAATCCTGACGGTTTCATTATATATCCTCATGGCTCCAACTTCACAGAGCATTGAAGTCTACAGCATGGAAACAGACCCTTCGGCCCAACTTGTCCATGCTGCCCAATTTTCACAATTAAATCTAGTCCCATTTGCCTGTGTTTGGTCCATATCCCTCATTACCTATCCCCTCCACCTACCCATCTAAATGTTTCTTAAATGACAAAATTGTACTCACCTCCACCACTACCTCTAACAGCCTGTTCCAGACACTCACCACCCTGTGTGTGTGTGAAAAAATTGTCCCTCTGGACCCTTTAGTATCTCTCCCCTCTCACCTTAAACCTATGCTCTCTGGTTTTAGAGTCCGCTATCCTGGGGAAAAGCTGCTGGCTATCTACCTTATCTGTACGTCTCATGGTTTTGGAAATCTCTATAAGGTCATCCCTTAGTCCCCTACACTCTCCTTATAACTCAAAACTTCCATTCCAGGTAGCATCCTAGTAGATCTTTTCTGCACTCTTTTTAAGTTAATTATATCCTTTTTATGGTAGGGTAACCAGAACTGCACATAGTACTTCAAATGTGGCCCTACCAACATCTTGTAACCTCCCATTAAAACTACCATTCTCTCCATCTCCACTGTTTTTCTTGACAAAGAAATGGTGCCAAGAAACTGAAAGGGAAATTTTATTTCTGTGCCGTTATGGTTATTCTCTTGTGTTTGCTCACAGCATTGAGCAGGAGATTTTTTATCCCCAGAGTGGGGTACTCAATTACTAGGGGTCATGATTTCAAGGTGAGAAGGGAAAAGTTTAAGGGAGATATGCGTGGAAAGTTCTTTACGCAGAGGGTGGTGAGTCCCTGGAACGCGTTGCCAGCGGAGGTGGTAGAGGCGGGCACGATAGCGTCATTTAAGATGTATCTAGACAGATACATGAATGGGCAGGGAGCAGAAGGATACAGATCCTTGGAAAATAGGTGACAGGTTTAGATAGAGGATCTGGATCGGCGCAGGCTTGGAGGGCAGAAGGGCCTGTTCCTGTGCTGTAATTTTCTTTATTCTTTGAGATTAATTTTAAGAATCTGGAGGGTCTAGGGAAACCCAAATCTTTACAGAGTTACAGGGCAGACACAGGACAGTTCAGGGCTGGAACCCAAACTGCTGGCCACCAGAAATACAACTCCTGGACATCATTAGCAGTCTGAACCGAATGCACTTCACCCAGGTCAATCCCAATAATCCAACTCCAAGTGTACGGGATTGGAATAAACTCAAGAATAGGGAAAGTACCACAGAAAATCACAGGGAGCAAGCGAGCAGGCCTTTCAACCCATCATGTCTGTACTGAAAAACAAAGAGTTATCGGCTGAATCCCATTTTCCACCTCTTGGTCTGTAGCCCTGTGGGTTATGTCACTTCAAGGGCTTTTCCAAGTGCTCCTTAAATATATTGAGGGTTTCTGCCTCTGCCATTCTTTCAGGCAGTGAGTTCCATACCTTTACCACCCTCTGGATTAAATAATTTTCACTTGAATCCATTTACCCTATATCTAAATCTAATTTTAATTAAACAAAAAAACTGTGGTCACTGGAAATCTGAAACGAGGCCAGAAAGTGCTGGAGAGCAGATCTTCCAGCAGCTGTAGAAAGAAAGCAGAGTTAATGTTTCGAGTCCAGTGACCCTCCTTCAGAACACACCAGACACAAAATGTTAGCTCTGTTTTCTCTCCACAGCTGCTGGAAGACCTGCTGAGTTCCTCCAAAATCTATCTTGTTTGGTTGTGGAACCCTCAAAGAAGAGGAAATGGAATGCTCATCTCCAATCTGACTAGACTCCTTGTCATTTTATAAACTTCAATTCAATCTTCCCTCAGCCTCCTCAGTTCAAAAGACAACTCCTCATTCTGATAGTTTAAAAGTCAGCCAGATCGAATTACAGTGATTAACTCACTGACATTATGAGAAACCATTCCGAAAGCAGGCCACTGGCAAAAAATAAATATCATTTCCCCATGACTTGTAATCGTCTTTGTTTAAATCCACCCTTTTCAAATCAGAAGAGGACAGCACGATCCACTCGCTAATCACAATCACAAAGCCTTTTCTGGAAAAAAAAACCCCAGCACACACTCAATTTAATGATTGGGGAAGGGGGTGGAGGGAAATTGTATGATGATTCACTCAACTTACTTTTCTGTAATTTCTTGCTTTAATGAAGTGACCAGCAGTTCCAACCTCTGATTCTCCGAGCTACATTCAGTATACTGTGGGAGAAAATGGGTGCCGTTAAATTGGGCAAGACTACACAACACAGAGCCCAATACTTTTGGTCTTGAAGTGAGTGTATGATTTTAGCAAAATGAACTGTCTGGTCAATGCCCCCTGCTGGTTTGATATCAAGTCCCTCCAGTCCAACTTGTCCATGCTGACCAGACATCCCAAATTAATCTAGTTCCATTTGCCAGCATTTGGCCCACATCCCTCTAAACCCTTCCTATTCATCCTTTTGTTCTTATTCATTCATCAGATGAGACTATCGCTTGCTGGCCCAGCATTTATTGCCCATCCCTAATTGCCCAGAGGGCAGTTAAGTGTCAACCACATTGCTGTCTGAAGTCACATGTAGGCCACACCAAGTAAGGATGGCATTTCCTTCCCTTAAGGATATTTGTGAACCATAGAGTCATAGAGTTGTACAGCATGGAAACAGACCATTCGGTTCAACTCATCCATGCTGACCAGATATTCTAAATTATTCAAGTCCCATTTGCCAGCATTTGGCCCATATCCCTCGAAACCCTTCCTATTCACATACAGTACCCATGCAGATGCCTTTTAAATACTGTAATTGTACCAGTGTCCACCATTTCCCCTGGCAGCTCGTTCCATACCCACACCACCCTCTGTGTGAAAAAGTAGCCCCTTAAGTCTCCTTTAAATCTTTCCCCTCTCACCTTAAACCTATGCCCTCTAGTTTTGGACTCCCCCACCCTGAGGAAAATGCCCTTGTCTCCTCACCCTATCCAGGCTCCTCATGATTTTACAAATCTCTATAAGATCACCCTTTAGCCTCCAATGCTCCAGGGAAAATATCTCCAGTCTATTCAGCCTCTCCCTATTGCTCAAACCATCCAATCTTGCCAACATCCTTGTCAATCTTTTGTGAATCCTTTCACGTTTCACAACATCCACCCTATAGCAGGGAGACCAGAATTGCATGCAGTATTCCAAGAGTGGCCTAACCAATGTCCTGTACAGCCGCAACATGACCTCCCAACTCCTATACTCAATGCACTGGCCAGGAAAGGCAGCGTACCAAATGCCTTTAGATGCCTTTTAAATGTTGTAATTGTACCAGCCTCCACCACCTCCTCTGGCAGCTCATTCCATACACGCACCACCCTCTGAGTGAAAATGGTTAAAATACTGACCTGACTAACTCTGGGTCCAGTTCACCACCAGTGTGGGAGATCATCCAGCTCATGGTGAGCAACAGTTGTGGGGATGGAACGGGAAATAAATGAATTCAGCCATCCTGATTGATCTCACGTGGTCTTACTGGCAAGTGCGAGTGTCAGACAGGAAACAGAGTTAACGTTCCCAATCCAACATGATTCTTCTTCAGAAACAGAGTTAACAATTCGAGATTGGTAGGATTTTTCATCAGAAGTCATACCAGATTCGAAATGCTAACTCTGTTTCTCTCTCTCCACAGATGCTGCCAAACCTGTTGAGCTTCTCCAGTGTTCTTGGTATTTATATGGTTGATCCAGTTCAGTTTCTGGTCAATGTTAACCTCCAGGATGTTGACGGTGGGGGATTCAGTGATGATAATGCCACTGAATGTTAAGGGACAATGACTGGTCTCTCTCTGGTTGGATTTGGTCTTTGAATGGCACAAATATCACTTAACACTTATCAAGCCAAACCCAAATATTGTCAAGCCCTTCCTGTACACCGGCATTGAGTGAATCAATATCTGGAAAGTCGCAAATGATGCTGAACATTGTGCAATCATTAGCAAACTTCTCACCTCTGACCTTATGATGGAGGGAAGATCATTGAGGAAGCAGCTGAAGATAGTTGAGACGAACACACTATCGCTGCCCTGGCACCAGTAAGAAAAGCAACTGTGACTCGGGGTGAGAAATACAAGAGAAACATTGTAGTCCTCTTTGCTGAATTCTCACTCTGGTTGCTTCCTGCTGCCTCAGAAACATGCTGGTTTCAGTCTATCTCTGACTGCCCTTCCTGCTCCCTGCCTTTTTCCAGGCCAGGACTGGCCATAATACTTCAATAACCATAGCTCTGGCTAACCATGACATACCTTCCTCCTATTTGGAGTCCAGTCTCTTTGAGATAAAGGCCAACTGGCAAACATCCAACTAGATCTCACCACCATATCAAAACAAGGTTTTGGGTCTCTGGTCACTGGGCTGTTAGCAGTGAGACTTGAACCTGTAGCTTTCACAGTCAAACTTATCAGAGGTAATTTTTTTCCCCTTGTTACCTTTGGAAATCCCCTCATCAAATCTCTACCAGATCTTCACTTTAACTGCTTAAGAAGTTCCTCAAATCTAACTCATCCTTTACACATCTCAGTGAATCTTTCCTGTAAACTTAGAACAGAGGCTACACTTCATGTGTACAATTGATAAGGCAGCAGTGGGCCATCAGGTGTAGGCAGGAAAGTGGAATCTAGGCCACAATCAGATTAGCCATGATTTTATCAAATAGGGCAACAGGCTCGAGGGGCCAAATGGCCTACTCCCAATTCATACATGTACTTGTATATACAACAAATCCTAAACTTATGGATATATTCTGGATAACGCCAACAGAGGAAATCACTTCTCTCCATCTAACCTCTCAAATACTTTAAGTACGTTAAAATACTTCAATAAGGTCGCCATTTATTCTTCCATTTCCATGGCAGTGATGCCATAACTTTACCTTTTTTTTAAAAACAGGATGAGGGCATCACTGGCTAGGCCAACATTTATTGCCCATCCCTAATTGCCCAGAGGTCAATAAAGAATCAGCCACATTGCTGTGGGTGTGGAGTCACATGGAGGCCAGACCAGGTAAAGATGGCAGTTCCCTTCCCCAAAGGACATTAGTGAATCAGATTGGTTTTTCCGACCTTTGATAATGGATTCATGGTCATCGTTAGACTCTTTAATTCCAGACATTTATTGAATTCAAATTCCATCATCTGCCATGGCAGGATTTGAACCCAGGTCCCCAGAACACTTTAGGAGGCAGTTAGCTTATTGGCTGGATGGCTGGTTTGCAATGCAGAGAGATGCCAACTACATGCTATGGTTACCATGAAGGATTCTCCATCTCAACCATTCCCCTCGCCTGAGGCATGGTGACCCTCAGGTCAAACCACCACCAGTCATCCCTCTCTATAATGAGATAGCAGCCCAATGGGACTATGGTATCTTTACCTTTTCTTTTATTGTAACTTTATGAGTGATTAATTCAGTACTAGGAACATTGCTGAATCTAAACCCGTTCATGATTATAAACCTGGGAAAAGAACAATTGGAGGTCTCAAGGGTTCAAAGAAAGGGATTAAGGCCCCTGTCTGTGGTCATTATTACTTTAGGAGCATCAAATTACTTCACGCATGCATTTGCAGACCTTCCTAAAATCATTAAATACTTTTCGCAAACTCTTCAGGACCCAAAGATCACCCGTTTCCAAACTGATGATCACAAAATTTTCCGTGACTTTTAATTCACCATGGACCGCAATGATTCACCGAATTATCTGATGCAGTCCCCGTGGCTCAATGAACAACCAAGCCAAATGTGCCAGCTGAATTGTAGATCATAAATATGCAGTGCAATGACAAAATGATTCATTATGGATCTGATTCATTAGAAACAAATGAATTGCAACCACACGGCATACAGTGCTCTGCATGTTAAGGGAATGACCGCAAGGCATGCAATGTCGTGTAAGGACAAAACACAAAATTAATAATTGGCACATTGTTAGTGCTGACTGAAGGTAAAGTTGAGAGAAAGGAGGGAAATGGCAGATAGGATGATGGAAAGGGAAGAGAAAAAGGGAAACAGCGGAGAAAGGTGGGAAAGAATGAGAAAAGGAAGGAAAGAATGAGAAATGGGAAAGCATGGAAGGAGGAAGGAGTGGAGGGAATGAGCGAGTAAAGGGAGGGGAGAAAAGGTGGGAAAGAGTGGAGGGAAAAAGGAAGGAAGGCTTGGAGGGAAAGAGTGGGAAAAGGAGGGAAAGAAAATAAGGGAAAGCGCAAGAAAAAGATTGGAGAAAAGGAGAGAAAGACTGAGAAAAGAAGGGAAAGACCGAGAAAAGGAGTGGAGAAAAGGAGTGAAAGAGTGGAGGGAAAAAAGGGGAAAAAGTCGAGGAAAGAGCAAGAAAAGGAGATAAAAGAGGGAGAAATGGAGGGAAAGCACAGAGCAAGTGAACAAAAAGGGACAGAGAACAAGTATGTTAAGACGCACATTGGAGTAACAACATTTTAAAATAAACTTTGCACTACATTCAGCTTTGGTTCTATCAGACAAAAAAATATTAATTAAAGAGAACAGTAACATTTCCTTAAACAAGTGTGTCAACTGAAATATTTCCTCTGTACTTTGAAGCAGATAAAAGACATTAAAATAGAAAAACTTTTCAGAAGTGTTGGGAGTTAACATTTTAGGCATCATTTACGCTGAAACCAAACTGGAAATCAAGACAAACTGTGTTTTCACAGTGGTCGATATATTTCAGCAATAAATCTATTGACTCATGCACCTTGGGGAATGGGGAATTGAAGTGGAAGTGGTTATAGCAAGTGAGGAAGTCATGAGAAGTTGAAGACAGAAAGGAGGAGTAAAGCCAGGCATTCTTGTGAGAAACTTAAACAGCAGGGATCCAGGTTTTTGTTAGTTTGGAATTCATGCAGCATTCCTGCAGCTCGTGACTATGGCAGCAGTGGGGCTGCTTTTGTAATTGTGCTGGCGACAAGGGGTCAGTTATAGAGAGATAGAGAGATAGAGAGAGAGAGAGAGAGAGAGAGAGACAGTCAAAGAGCATCACTGTTATATAATCTCACTGTGTGTTGGGGGTCACTCCTGGAAGTCTCCACTGGCCTCTTCACCAACCAATAACCAACCTAATGCAGAGGACCAGACAGGAAAGAAAACAAACCAAGACTTTTTTTTTCCCTTGCCTCATTAATTTATCCAGAAAATAATATCTTTGAAGAGCATTTAAGACATCATGGTGTATC